GTCCAATAATAATGTCCTTCGAGCAATTTGGCATAATGACACCATAAACCCAACGGTATTCAAAATGTATTACGCAAACACTCCCAGAAAATTGCCATACGAGAGAGATCGCATTTACTCAGTCGAAAGCTCCCGATTCAGGTTCCTTGAACCTGCGACCGCGCGGTTCAGCAAAGAACAACAGTTTTAATTCATACGGGAGTACGGTCTGCTGGCTTCAGCCTTCACAAATCACCGCGTTCATCGTGGAACCGAACAGGAAAGTTTTAGCAAAAATAGAAGCACCGCGGCGTTGGAAATCTTCCGCAAAAGTTCTCAAACAGCAAGCGCGGTGGTATCGCGTCTCGCCAACTATTTTCGCCCCATATTTTCGCAGTCCTCCCCCCACGGTGCCTACCCCGGCGCGTTCCTTCCTTTTTTTGCATTTCTCTTCCCTCCTTTTTTGTTTTCGGTTCCCGGTTCGGTGGCAACGGCCCGAAATTTTTATCCGGTGAAAAAGTGTCCCGACAAAAGAGCGGGAACGGTTCTTTTTTTTTTTCCTGACTCCTTTCCGACAGCCGGCACCGTGATAAATCACATAAAGCGCCGCGAAAATGCATATAGGCAGTCCCGCCATGACTATCAACTTTTCAGCAACGCTGAGTGAGGGGCGAGAGGACTACTACTGTCGATTCGAAGCTAATACATTTATACATCATTTTTCTCAGTTATAATGAAATTATAGATCTTGCTCTATATATATATATATATTTTAGCTATTTACAGAACAATATTAAAAATTTTAACAGCATATAATAAATTCTGTCATTATTTTTTATATGTAGGTGGTACTGTAGTATTAATTTCAGTATGGATTTATGGATAGAATAATAGCATGTATTTACGAAACATACGCTAATGTACAACTAGTAACAATGAAACTGAGCCAGTTCGGGCTTGTGTTAATTTCCTCTATGGGAGCAAAATTCAAAACGAGTAATAAGTCTAGGTTGTATTTTTTTCAATGCTCGATCCGGCATCGATACTGCTGAATTTGGACATATTATTATAATATTCATGCGTCATAATAAAAACAATTTTAATGTAGGCTGTGGTGTATGCGTAGGTCAAAATTATGTAAAAATCTGGCAGCATCAATGCCAGATCGAGCATTGAAAAAAACGAGATATAGAATTGTTACTCGTTTCGAATTTTACCCCCCTAGGGAAAATTAATACAGCCGAACTGACTCAGTTTCATTGCTACTAGCTGTACATGTCGACGACAAAGCTATTTCGAAAAAGCAGTCGCGATTATTTTCTTCTGGCATCGACAGGAAAAATATTTGTCGTATTTTCAGATTACGTACGAGCGTGCACATTTTCGATTTCGTTGTTAGGTAATATTTTTTCAAAATATCTGTCCACGTTCTACCAGAACCCGTTGTTCTATTTTTGGCAAGCATTTTCCCATCAAGCGTACATGGTCACTGCTATCTAACAGGATCAGTCTGTATGTGGACAAATATTTTTAGTGTCGGATCGAAGATTACATGCAAGTCTTTCGATAGCTTTTATTTTCGAACCGATGTACGCGTGCCACGTGAACAGATTAAAAGTTACCGTGTTTCAAATGGTTGAAAAATATGTTTACGTTAACAGTTTGAAATTTATTATACTTTCACCAAAAATTTATTTTCTTTTCTTCGTGTAAAAGCATGACGACTGTTGTAACAAACGCTCTCTTACGAGCTACATTTTTCACAGTTCTTTTAAACTTAATCGCATCTATAATTTTGAATTCACAAATCACCAGCAGAATTCACTTATTCCGACGAGAACCTCGTCTAAAGAAGAAGTCTTTCAGTAGTCTATTTACGCCCGGGTAGGAACGTTCTTTTATAAAGTCGACCCGGTAAATTCATGGGAAGTAAGACGAGAGGGGGGAGAACATTGTTCCAGGTTACAAGAACGCGATGCGATCTATTTGCCTTTCGGATAAGGCGACTCGTATCTCGGCCCGACGCGTTCGAATAAAATAGGTACTCGACTGCGGGCGTCTAAAATGCGATTATCTTCGAGACATCGTAATGCACAGAGTACATTGGCCCCTTTAGCCCGACTTTCTTGCGGAAAAAATACGATCACTCGTTGAAACCAGCCGGAATGCTGACGCAAATACAGAAAAACATCGAAACTTGCGGTCTAAAAATATATTCCTTGTCGATTCAACTTTTAAGCATTAATTCAGTCAATATATTCGTTGCTGTATCATACTTGTCAATCATCAATGGTTATATTAATTCAGTCAATATTTCCTGCTCTATTTTAGTTACGTGACAGTTTATTATATTGTAATGTCGATTGAACGAAGGGTAGTAGAATTGTAATATTAATAAGTTTAATGCAACTCTTCCGAATAGAGA